ATAGTTGAATTCAACACATCCTGTGATCATGATGCTTTTTCTTGCTCTCATGAAATCGGTAAAGGGAACTGGTTTCATGAAAAAGTGGTGAGCGAAACCAAACAAGATTGAACGAGACTCCTGTTCAAGCTTGATCATACACACACACACACACTGCTGTGACGCAGTTTCTTCCACGTGCGACCTCGTTTTTGTTGTATCTGACCCGGGGGTGTGCGGGGGAGGGGGACAACAGTCGACCTCGACCTCTGACAATGAGGGGATTTGATCGTCTCTGCCGGACAATCGGTACACTTACAGACTATGATTGCAACTAGGATTGCACAGGGCCCATTTGAGCTACATCATGCGTGAACCGGTCTCGATTCCCATTTGGCAAACGTTTGTGCGTGGATGGTAAGTGAAAACCCTAATGGTAAGTGTGTTGGACACCAATTGCACATATATTAAATGATTTGTTGTTGTTGTTATTAGTATCACTCTTTTTAAATTTTATATCTATGAAAATGCTCTGATAGTTTCCTAATTTTCTTTTCAAACTAGGTGGAATCAAATTGTTGTAGCCGCACAGAATTTAACTCGGTCATGAATTCTCAAACGATCTTCTTCCGGTAGCGTTTTCTCGACCAGATAGGAATCCCACAGACAGTGAAATAGAACACAGTTTAAGGCAAGTATGAATTCATTTATTAAAGTGCAATGCATGTATAAAATGATTGGTTGACTAGATTGCTGCAAAACTGTACTAAATGGTTGGTGATTTCGGCCAATCACATGATTTCGCCTGTGGTTGTTCTGATTGGTTGTTTCAGAACAAAAAACAGATTTCAGGAAGCATGCTGACGCCCTGACAGCGACCCTTTTGGAACAAATCGATCAAATGAAAGGAATGGTGCTGCTTTTAAAAATTGTTTCCCACAATTTATGTTTCAGTGTTTGAAAGAAAACGATGGTAGCTAAAATACATCTATCCCATTGATGTTCTAAGGGAATCGAACACACTACGCTTGGGACTAAGCAATGGGCTATTGATCGTGGTAATGACGCCAATTCATTCCATATTCTATGGGGACTGTTTATAATAACAAGGTTCGCAACACCGGGTGATTTTTGGATAGACAGCTCTTTCACAGCCAGGTTATTAAAGAATCAGTACTATGATTCGATGTTTTTTAGGCGGATTAGATACTGCTAACCGCAAAAAACGTAACTTGAGTGTCTTTTGTAGAATAGTTCAAAATAAGTTGCATATGATCGACCAGAAAAAGTCCCTGGAAGCACAACCGGTTTCGCGGTTCTTGCCGCTCGTCAGGCATGCGCATCGGGTAATCTTTTTTCATTTAATTCTTATACGTGTACTCAGGAATTGTACTTTCGTCATAATAAGCGGATACGCATACCTGAAGAGTCACAAGAACCGCGAAATAGGTCGTGTGCTTCCAGGGGAATTTTTCTAGTCAATCATTTACTACTTATCCAGATATATATGTATAGACAGACAGATAAATCGACTAGCTAGTAATTAGCACCGTGACAGTTCTCATTTGAATTGCAACGATCATCCCGCGCATTACTTTAATGGTTGAAATGTAGGCCGAGGATGCCTCTTTATAGTTCAGAGTTCACTTTCCTGAATTTTCAAACCGAACTAGTTGGTTCAGTTATGTAAAATAGAATCGATTGCTCACCCACGTAGCTCGTTGGTGTACCCGCATCACAATGTACCCGGGATCTAATCGACCAATTACAGTACTGGCCGATTGTGATGCACTAAAATATTTTCTTTATCAGTTTTACTATATTTATCACCCATATTAATGCTTTAGTTATGGGCAATAATTTATATCTTGTCTACTTTGATCTACGTATTTTCTAGTCAGCATAAGTGTCAATTAAACATGTTTGACCTTGAGTGCCAAGAATAACTGATCTGAACATGAGAATCGCAAACTGTATCAAGTATGACAACGCAATACTTTCTGATAAGAATGACTCAAGAATTATCCCAAATTATTTCCGTCAACCCTTGCCATTTCCCTTATTTGTATTGACGCATTATTTTATCTAATGTATAATCCATTATGGCAACGCTACTGGATAACCAAATCAAATTCTTTCACAACCCAGAGAAATTGCATTGAATAAGGTTTCATAATAATAATCTATGTTTGATATCTAACTCACTGAATTCGAAAAATACCACTTTAATCAAAGTGAACTTTGGAATCAAGGTCCGTTTTGTGCACAGCTTTGAATGTTCGTATTGTTGTCACCATAATGAAGCAAGCAACGCTTGAAACCAAAATTTCCTGTTATCTCAGTGAAGAGAACAGAAACAGAATTGCACGGGCACACAAGCAGGGATTTTCCGTATCAAATCTTGCCCAATGCTTTAACGTTAACAAAAACACAATTGACAGGATAATCCATGGAAAAACAACAACCGGAAAAGATTGTGGGCGCCGCAAATCGAGTTCATCCAGACAGGAGGACTACCTGACACCGAAGAGACTCAAAAAGTTCTAAAGAACAAAAACAGACTAATCGAACACTAGTGTACACAAACTTTACATCTTGCTTATTATCAATGTTAATTTGCTGTTAATAAAAACTGTTCGATTCTCTTAAGTTAGCTCTTGACTCATCTTGGTCTAGGTCAACCACTACTGACGAGAGTATCCGCTGCATTTTGAACCATTCCATCTGCTGAGTATAAACGATTCAGGAAAATCAAGGATACAAAGACTCTCCAAGACTTGTTTATCATTAGTTTTCAAAATTGTTTTCTTCAGTATAAATGCTGTTGCCCATACGAACCGACAAGTGGTTTACAGGGACCTGTTGCTTCAGTTTCGATTAGACCTGTAGGTCGTTCGATCCCGGAAAAAAAATCAAGGATTGGCAATATACTTCGTAAAACAACCAAATTTAAAATAAGGCCATGCAGTAATCTTGTCTTCGGGTAAGATAAACAAAAAACCAACCATCCGAATCGGATCTCTTGTTCCGACACAATAGGGAACATTTTCCGTGCACTGACAGTTAAACATCTTCTTATCAGTCGGATTGATGATTTCATTACTGCAGTCAATTCCCGGCTGTCCGCTCTCATTGATCATGGATTATTTCCGCATTTGTGTTACACGTCCACCTATAGATGCAGATGGGACACTGTCGTATGAGGACTCACGTTTTTATGGCTCGTCAGTGAAACAACCCCGCTCCAAAAATGTGGATTGTTTTGGAGGAGAAATACAGGGACATATATCAAATGGATCTAACTCAATGTACTTAGCTAGAATGTCGACAGTGAACAGTTGATACATCCAAATCAATTTAGGAATGATAATATC